GAAGGAAGGAAGGAAGGAAGGAAGGAAGGAAGGAAGGAAGGAAGGAAGGAAGGAAGGAAGGAAGGAAAATGGTCTCTGTATATGATGGTACATATTTGATAGCAATCTGGAACAGATTAGTTCCATGATGAAAAGTCAGGGAAATTTTGTTTTAAAGATGACTTTTAAGTGACAGGTAAAGAGAGACAGTGAGTTGGATCAGAATCCTAAAGAGTGCATAGTCAAGGGTTGGGAAAGAAACATGTCTGGCCCTAGAAATATCAAATGAGATCACGTGTGGAAATACCTGGTCTCTCTAGAGCAGATACAATGCAGGCGTCAGTGTAACTACAATGTGGTCTCTCAGGAGCTCTTTCACTGGCCACTATTTTCTGAGCAAGAGAGTAACTGAACCTACCCCAATCTCAAATCTAGTTCTCCAGCAAGCACAAAACATAGCAGAACTCCAAGAGATTTCCATTTCCAGACCGTCTAGTTCAGACTACTCATTAGACAGAGAAGGAAACAAACTTATGGAGACATTGAAACTTGGGAAGATGGCATACTTGGCTTGAGAGAGGAAGAGGGCCGGGGTTCCCAACCCAATGCTTGCCTACCTCTCTAATCAATGACCCACAGTTAGTCTCGGGAAAGACTAAAAGCTGAGAAGGATACAACAGCTGCAGGGAAGGGGAATTCGCTGACTGAATGGAATCTGCAAATAAGACTTAGAGCCACACCTATGCTGTGTCCTGGAGCCATACTAAAGGCAGAACCAAGAAAGAGTCCAGCTTCTGAGAGACTATAGAGCAAGCTGACTGGATAGACAGGAGGAGACCACAACTATTTTACCTCAGCTTAGGGAGCTTATTCAGTAATCTTTTCTTGGTTTTCCTCTACAGGACTTAAGGTTTCTGTATTCTAGTTTCCTGATGAATCTGAGAGTCTTTAGAGTATGAACAATTAGGATCTGCTCTTAGGCGACTCCTCTAGATTGTGTATCAGTTTCCATGACTCCTGAAACTAGAACCTCCTGCTTGGCTGCTGGCCACCATCCCTATGGCAAAAGCACATTCAGTAACACTGAACGGTCAACCTTTCATTATCCCATACAGACACATGTATCCAGTGGTCAAGAACCTCTTTCTTGCATACTTCTTCAACTAACAGCTGAAAGTTTTCAGAGATGAGAGACTCCCCATCTCTGGAGAAGCCCATTCACACCTGTGTGTTCTGATTCTCTCCATATTTCTGCAAATAAAGGGTGGAAATCAGCCCTCCTATACTTTCCTTTCAGTGGTCTAGGCCAACCTTTAGGGAATACTCAGAATGGATCTACTGTATGTTGTACATGGCATCGGATACTTCTGCCTGAGAAGTTCAAATTCTAGCCTATAGGTCCCACATATTGAAAGAAATAGAACTGGGCAAGATGAACCAAAGGAGCAGCCTTAAAATACCAAAATGTTGGGCTTTTACTTAATAAAAAGTCAAGTTGTCACTGAAAAACAGGGGTGAAAATGGTTAAGATAAAGACCCTCACATGGGAACAACAAATAGTACATCTGCTATTCGTCTTCCATGGACCTCCTTTCCTATGACCCTGTCCACTGAGAATCCTGTGCAACCTTTCTTTTCTGTATATAACTACTGTCCTTCAAGCCTTACAACACACTTTTTCCTGCCCATATGCCCTGTTTCACAATTACACCCTGATCTCTGCCCATGAATGAAGAAAATATTCATTCCAAGATACAAGATAGAGCTTTTTAACTTTTAAGTACATGTCACTCACTTTGAGAGGAGAGAGGGGGGAGGGAGAGGGAGAGAGAGAGAGAGAGAGAGAGAGAGAGAGAGAGAGAGAGAGAGAGAAATGAGAGAGAGAGACTTAAGAGCGAGAGTGGGATATGTCCAGACAGAAAAACATCCATCAGTTATGGAATGCCAAGTCCTGCAATTCTTCAGAGCCACCAAGTATTTTCCTTAAGCCTAATCTCATGCTTCCCAAAACATTCGTATTCTTCAAGTTTTTCTTTCTAAAGATATTTTATAGAAAGAGACATGGAAAAATATTGTAGGATCTGCACACTTATAAACATAAGCATAACCTTTATAAATTATCTGAGTTTCTAGCCTTTATGATCTAACACTTTGGTATATCAAGTAATATTTTTACTAAATTTTATCTGCTCTATTTTTTTCTCTTTTAGTTATTTCAGTACAAAAAAAAGTATATATATATGAGTCAGTGGTAGGGGGTAGGGAAGTGTACTGGAGGAGACAAGAGACAGTAAGAGGGCAAAGTGAACAATTCTCTGTCTCTCGAGTCCATTAAATGTCCAGATGGAGTGGCTTAGATGTGGGTTAGCGGTAGGTCTTGTGGGGAGGACCTTGGCCACAGGAACATCGGCAGGCATGGATGGCATCACTCATCCCCTTGTTGAAGAAGCAAAAGGTGTATTTCTTGGAATGATGGTCTGTGCTTGGTATCTCTTCTCCAACAGCTGAGCATCAGCTTGTACACAGAGTCGGGGCAAATGGCTGGTTGAGGGAGATAAGTCTTTGGGAACAAAAATTTTAAAAGAGAAAAATAGGTGTTAAGAGATGGAGGAGGAGAATGAATTGTATCATAGTTTGATTTATGCCCTCACCACTTCATTGAACTCAGCAACTGAAGTGAGTGTTCTATCTGTTCTTCCCATCCATGGAGTTCTAGCTCATCAGCCCCTTTCTCATTACCTTGCTCTCTTCTAGTTCTCTCAGGCAATATTTCATGGTGGGCCATTCTGTGGGCCCTGTCTTCATGCTGAAGGTGAAACCAATGCAAAGGGAGCTCATATCGTCAATTTATGAGCATGTTTCTTGGTTAAGCCAATACGGCAGATACAAAGTATATTTGTAACTTCAGCTCCATAAAGTATTTGAAGCTTTATTGCAATTTTGATTGGAATAAAATTTCAGCTGATGCAGAAATTGGGATGCAGGCCACATCCTTGTAATGCCTCTCATTGTTCTCTGTGTTTCCCCTTGTCTGTATCGGTCTCAATTAGAAGAGATTAGATTGCACTAACAGGTATGGTCATTGTGCCCCAATCTCAGCTTAGGATGCTACTCTGAAGTTACCAGTTACCATCTCCACAAGGAAGATGCTCCTCTGCTAACTCCCAGTCCATCTTCTGTCTTCTGTATGTCATTACCATCATCTCCCTACCTATAGTCTTAATACTCTGCTATAGTGATAGATTACTGAACCAAACTTAAATTTCCTATGCTCCCTGAACCATCAAACTATCATTGCCTTTGCTGAACACATGTCTGTACCTAGTTCATCATTAATTACTTCCCATTGCCCTGCCTTACCCCATGCAACACCAGCCTGTATCATGTATTATAGAGTCTAATAGTCACATATGCCATCAACTCCTAATATACAGGTAAAAAGGCCCTTAGGCAAAAGCTTTGACTTCTGTTAAAATAGCAAATTAGATGGAATATCAAATCAGATATAACAAAGTTTAATTCTGCGAGTTATAAAACTATGACTATAAAATAGCAAGCATTTGAAAGACACTATTACCAATAAGGGTATAGCGTAATGGGCATTCTCATATATTATCAGTAAAACTTAAAATTGTTGATCTCTTTGTGAGGTGCCCACTATAGAACTTTAGAAAAGTTATAGAAGAATGCCAGGTGTGGCAGTAGCAGGCCTATAATCCTAGTTCTCAGGAGGCTCTGGCAGGAGTTCAAGGTCACCCTGGGAATGTAGCAAGACCCAGTCTCAAAAGCAACAACAGCAATAACAACAAAATTTACTATAATTCTAGGCCATTACTTTGATGAGTAGGATCCATTTTCTAATTGAACACACAACTCTTAATTGGCTATGTGTCTTCTAAAGGGTGGTCTGAATACATTAATCTAGTAAGAGAAACTTTTTTTCTTGGTCCATTGCATATTTCATAAAGACAAGGGCAAGTGTTTGCTTCCTCACAGTAAGAGAGCAGTATTATGTCAACTTGACACAAGCTAATGTCATCTGAGAAAACCTCAATTAAGAAAATGTCTCCATAAGATCTGGCTGTAGGCCATTTTCTT